CTGTCAAAATCTGGCACAGCCGAGGCTGACCGCGTAGACCTTGCGATGTTGGAGACCCTCCCATATCTCCGCCCATTCTCAAGTCGTCCGCGATCCTTGAAACAAGATGAGGGTGATGAAGTGCGTTGAATAAGAGGCGGGTGGTGGGAGTGCGCGGGGGTCACCGACGGACGTGGGACCCTTCAGAGCGGGCAGCCAGTCTGAGAATTATTAGTGCTCGCTATCAGAAAAAGGCTTCCAGAAGGTTGTTCAGAAGCTGTGGAGGGCAGATCCTGGCCAGCTGGCCGTTGACGTGCTCTGCCAGCTGTCGCCCCCAAGAGCATGACTAAGCCCTGTGACCTCTGATGACATAAGATATGATGACTAAGCCTCCCACCACTGCATCCCGTCACGTGCGCCAAACAACCGCCGGCCCATAGGAGCTGTGCCAGCTCGACGACGGGACCTGGCCTGGGCGCTCTGCTCACGGCTCCGGAAAATTCCATACCATCACGGCCCGCCAAACAATATCAAAGTCACCTCCCCCAAGCCATTGAGGCCGCAATCATGGGTGCCAGCGAGTCCAAGCCGTCCTCCAACACGCCGCCACACCTGTGGAAGGCGTAAGTGCCCTCCCAATCCATTGCCCGAACCGATCTGCCCGTCGGTGCAAGGAAACAAACCCAGCTAACCCGCGCCCGCAGCCCAGCGCCCTCGGGCATCTCGCACGACCTCGTCGAGCAGCTGCAGTCCAGCCCAGAGGTAAATTGAATTCTCCTACTCTCCATCCGCCACCAGCTAGGATATCGAACATCCCTCCGAGCTCCGTTCCTCCATCCCCCGCCCCGGCACCCTTCCCTGCGCGATTTCAAAAACGCCCCTCCAAACACACCTCCCCTCATAAAACTCCCACGGCTAACCTGACCACCCAATCCACAGACCGACGCCTCCCGCGCCCAGCTCACGGAGCTCCAGATCCAGCGCCGCGTCGCCGAGGAGCTGAAGCGCCTGCAGGCCAAGGAGTCCGAGGCGCTCCGCCTCGCGCACGACAAGATCGCCTCGGAAGAGACCGCCGCGGCGCCCGAGGGCCAGCGCAGCCACGACAGCGTGAAGCAGGAGGTCGAGGCGCTGCGCGCGAAGCTGGCGGAGCGCAAGCAGGTGCGCGCGCTGCCCGAGGGCGTGGAGAAGGCGCGCGGCGAGGTGGTGCGGTGCCTGCGCGAGAACGACCGCCGGCCGCTCGACTGCTGGAAGGAGGTGGAGGCGTTCAAGGAGGAGGTGAAGAGGTTGGAGAAGGGCTGGGTTGAGAAGGTCATCTCGTAAAGAAAAGGAGAGGCGGTTTCCTATGCTGTGAGGGAGTGAATGGTGACGGTGTTGGTGGTGGTGGTGGGTGGTCTGTCCTATCCCTGATAATCCATCTTTATATCTTGCGTTTTCATTTTTTTTCTGTGATGGATCGGGGAAGGAAGACGCTAGTAGATGGGAGGAGGCAGGCAGATGGTGAGATGTACAACACATTGTGCGACGGCAAAGATAAAAAAGAGAGAGTGTATAGATGGCGAAATGAATTCGTGGTCACATCATCACAGCCCATGAAGTTGGTATTCCGGCAGATCTACAACATCCTCCTCTACCACACTCTCAGAAGCCTGCTGCGTCTCCTTCTCCCTAGCAGCGAGCATCTTCTCCTCCTTCCGTCTCAACCCCTCCGCTCTCTTACGCTCCCTTCTGACAGCGGCATCCTCCCACTCGGCGCCGCCCTCGCCCAGCCTCGCGGGCGGTCCCGCCACGGCGTCCTGCAGCGCGGCGCGGAACCTGGCGATCCGCGCCGCGTTCTCGACGAAGCGCTCGTTGGCGATGTCCACGAGGGTGCGCAGGTAGTCCGTCGAGACGGTGCAGTGGCGGGTGTCGTTGGAGTCGTCGACGTAGCCGACGAGGGACTCGAGGCCGAGACCCATTGTCCGGACGCCCACGATGGGGGTGACAGACGGCTGCTGGTCGTCGGTGGATGGTGCGTTGGGCAGCAGGTTCAGGGCGCCGCTTTCGCGGAAGCCGGCTGCGAGGGCGCATTTGAGGAGGAGCTGGGCGTGGGATGGGGATGCTGTGAGGACGTGGAGGATCTGAGGAAGAGTTAGTCAAGCTGCAAGAAGGTAGTATTGAAGCGTTGGGAGCTGTATGAGTGTGTATGCGAGTGAATGGTGTCAAACATACCATAGGCTCAAACTTGAAGTGTATAAGCCGCCGTCTCCTCCGCCCAGACTGAGCGCTTCCCGCCTCTCCGGCTCCAGCCTTCCCCCCCTCGGCTTCATCCACGAGACCAAGCAGCTTCAGCAGCCTGTCGTCCTCATCATGCGGCCCAGGGACAGGATCGTGCGACACATACAACCATGTGCCACCGCCGCCCTTCCCGCCGGGCCCAGCTATCGTCGCCAGCGCAGTACCAGCAGGGTCTTCACCCTCACCCTCCGTCGGGCCGGTCTTGGCATCACCACTCTCCTGTGCAGACAAAGCCTCTCTCCTCTTCCCTTCGAGGAAGACACTCACCCGCCCCGCGCAGCTGCTCGTCGTAACGAAGCCGTCCAGGGCGTTGAGCTCGCCAATCAGCTCGCGGATGCCCACGTCCACGGACCCCTTGGGCGAGGCGTCGGTGTACTCCGCGTCGGGCACGCTCAGCTGCTGCAGGATCTTGTGCTTGCGCGCCTTGAAGGCCGCGGGCGGGGAGGGCAGTTGGGCTCGCTGCTGTGGTGCCATTATTCGTGTCTGCCGTGGGAGTGAGTGGTTGTGACTGTATGTGTGTGTGTGTTTGTCTATGCGGGGTGCAGCGGTCACGGGGACAGCACCCGGACAGTCTAATCTGGGTGGACGGGAGACTTGTTCCTGTCAAATCGCCGGATGCTGGGTTGTTGTTGGGCGTCGTACCTTGTTTCCGGCCGTGTAAGTGAGGTTCTTGGAGTGACTGGCGAAAATTGTGTGTGGTGGTTTGCGGAAGGTACATGCACCGTGTGGATTTATGGGTGAAACACGGTGTCCTGTCGGCTTGCGAGCCGGTACCAAGCCTCTTTTCAACGCGCTGTCCTACCCTCCGATGTTACATCCCGGGAACCGATAGAGCAGACGATATCTTGGAGAAATTAGGCTATCTCGTGGTGCGTGTATTGCGGCTTTAATATAAGGTCTCACCCTCCCGGGGGCGTGACCTGGTTCTTTGGATATGAAGACGTGTTTGATTGGTTTTGAGGCACCGAGCAGCCGGGAATCGTTAGTATGAGCATTTACTTTCAATTTATATAGATTGATTTGTTAATGTGCTATACGTTTGCTTTTGAACTGGAATGAGAACGCGACTTGGACCATCCGAGGTTGACCGCGAGCTTACACAAGCTTGGAGCAGGAACGGTAGCGGATGGCAGTCCACGATGTCGAGCGAATAATTTTTGAGTCTGGTCGCCTAGTTTGATGCAAGATACGGTCGAAAAGAACTTCCTTCTCACTCTACGGCAACTTTGTGAGGTATTGTGAATTTTCGAGCACAATTCGATCAAAACGTATTTCAGGACAACACTATTACTCAAACATCAATACATCAACAGCGCTCCCACAACGAATCATGCAGCACTTACATTGGCATCATAAGTACAAGTTCAGAGACTTTCATCTTACTCTGGGCGGATTCAAGGCCCGCGGATCGCCGGGAACACACGGCTATTAAGTCATTATGGACCCTTGCATGAGAGCTTGGCCGTACCCGGTGGTAGCAACACCGGCAGAGAGGTATTATTTTGATATGACAGCTATGACATACCGAGTTGCGGTGTGTTATGTGACGACTAGTATAGTATCAACCCGAACATCAGAGATAAGAGCTTGCCAGCCCAGGAAGTTCGCTGGGTGACTTTATTGCTCAACTAATAGGAGGCTTAGCTATCCTCAATGCCCAGACCGAGTGGATCTCAAACATATCAGAGAAGGAAGACCTTCGATACCAATCACTCGTCTGATTACCTCCAGCAGCCATCGCCGAGATCGCAACAGCAGCTCTTTCTGGTATTCGTTGTTATCGTCGCCCTCGTGTTAGTCATGTCTGCCTTCAAGATAATTCCATTAGATGCGAAGACCCCAAAGTAGCTACTGGTATTATATCCTGCCCAAGTAGCCGGCTGATTCCAGGCTTCAGCTTTGCATTGCTGTGATTTTTCAAACAGCCCCCTCACGGACAGACTTTCGCGTGGCTACTGAAGCGTGACTGACAAGCCGCCACAGACAGTATTGCGCTAATAAACACGTCTCCAGAAACCTTGAGATTGAGTAACATATCGTTGTAAACTAATTAACATGTGCAGCTGCGTTGGTCCGTTTGGGACCAAATGCTTCAGAGATCATACTACCAATGATCCGTAATGCGCATTCGATACCGGTTCAATCTGCAAACCACCTCGTTCCAAGGTCTTCGGAGGATGGGTAAATATCTTGTGCAACGATAGATCCTTCTGAATCCTTCTGCACTCGAATCCAATGACACTGCAAGATTGGGAAAGAGGTCACGAGCAGCTTTGCGTGGATGCCGAAATAAGCTTTTTGGCAAGGGACGTTAGTCGCCTAACATAATTTGGTGTGTCTTACGAGCAAGGCTGTTAGCATCCTATGAGCCGAAGTCACCCGTGCCCACTTTTGTCCCGGATGCGGGGTCTCAGCGGGACGCAAGATGGAGGAGCCGCACATCACACCCGCACACCTCACACTTCACTCTCACATTCAGAGCAGACAACAAGACGTCTTCATGAATTCTTCATCTTATTTCATATTTTCCCATCTAATCTGATAGGATCTGGGGTGGTATCCGCGAGACGCGCGAGATACAATCATGGTTTCTATGACTGTGAAAACCCATCATCCGGAACGCCCGCATGCTGTCCCGTGCCGTTTCCCTTTTTAGTTATGCTCCCGAAATCTCAACGCCGTCATGCCATCATATGTACAAGTCATTATAAGTTAAAGAAAATCGCTCACGTCAAAAGACATGACGCTCACAGCGACGCGACGGCCTGCTCCTCCTTCTCCGCCTTGACAACAGGCGCGACGGCAGCTTGGCCGGCCTTCTCAGCCTCGGCCGACGACGACGGCGCCGCCTTCTTGGCCTCGACGGCCTTGCGCTCCATCTCCTCGAGGTACTGCGCGTAGCGCGACTTCTTGTTGTGGATGCCGCACTCGGTCTTCTGCTGGCCCTTCCAGCGGCCGGCGCGCTCGTCCTCGCCCTCCTTGACGGGCACCGTCGAGTGCCAGTCGCCGACGGACTTGTACCCGCGGTCGAGCAGGTCGTTGTACGGCACGTTGTGCGTCTTGATGTAGTCCTGGACCTGCTTGAAGGACCACTTGACGAGCGGGTTGATCTTGACGACGCCGCGCTCGTCGTCGACCTCGATGATGGGGATCTTGTCGCGCGCGCCGCCCTGGGAGCGGCGGCGGCCCGTCAGCACGGCGGCGACGCCGAGCTCCTGGTACGCGCGCTGCAGGGGCTCGACCTTTGCGATCCAGTCGTACATCTCGGCCTCGGTCTCGTAGAGGCGGGCGCCGTACATGGCCTCGAACTGGGCGGTGGTGTCGACGCCGAAGGGCTTGAAGACGTGCAGCTTGACGTTGGGGTAGCGCTGCTGGATGCGGTCGACGAGGGCGTGGGTCTCGGAGAAGTGGTAGAGGGTGTCGAGGAAGATGAGGTCGACGTTGGCGGCGGCGGGGTTCTCCTTCTGGATCTTGGAGAGCATGTCGAGGGTGACGAGGCCGGTGAGGCCGAAGGCGGTGGACTGGAAGAGGTTGGGGAACATGACGCGGCAGAAGCGCAGGATGTCGATGGGGTGCATGTCCTCGAGCTGGTCGTTGAGGTGCTTGAGGTGGGGCTGGGTGAGGGAGATGAGCGGCAGGGCCGCGATGGAGGACGACGTCGACGAGGCGTCGGTGGCGGAGCCGTACCCGGACTCGACCTCCTGCTGGTCCAGCTTGGCGGCCTCGACGGCGTTCAGTCTGGGGGACGACGCCACGGAGGACGTCGCGGTGGCAGCTTCAACAGCGGACGACGACATGTTGAAGGTGCTGTTGGGATGTGAAAGAGGGCAGAAGGGTTGGGTGAGGAGGAGGGGTTCCTGCTGCTGAGGTGATGAGAGCCCAGGGTTATATGGTGAGTGTTGCTGTGTGAGGAGGGTGTGTTGTTGAAAACCCGGGGTATATTCGCTGAGGACGGCTCTTGTCGAAAGAGATGAAAGAGATGAACCGAAAAGCAAATGACGCAAGATGCTAGTCTGGGGTGAAGTGAGATCAGATTTGGATCAGAGAGAAAGAAGGAAGGCGAGAGACTGTTTTATGAGGAACGGGCTCGGAGGACCAGGAGGGACACTTACACGGCGGGAAGGGGGCGGGAGGAGTATCATTTTCCGGGCACAGGGCATCATCAAGCAACATTACTAATTTGATTTTTCACCAAGTACGCCCTTCTAGCACGATCGAACGAACCAAAGGCCGATAGAGGAGTGCAGATGGGCACCCGCACGCTGGAGCCTGCCCAGGTATTGCGCAATAGCTGGCAAGTGGAAGCTTGCATTGAGAGCCAGGCGCTTGAGGAATATTTTGCAACTCTCCTACGACGAGGCGTGGTCTGGGAGCAATCACGACATCGACGCTAAACCTTTCGTGATGAGGGCGGCGAGACGTGATTGGCCGCGCGTGGCAGGGGATCCTCCGTACCGTGGACATCCCGCAATTGCGCCATCGCCCCGGGAGCCGGAGTAGATTTACTTTGCAAAGGATTTGCCTCTGGCCCGGTTCCCGGCAGCCGGAAGCCGCAATCTGGGTGAGTATAACATTGGGGCCGTGTCCGGGTCTGCTTGTATCTGTGAAAAGAAGCCCCGAAATTCGACGATGATCTGGGACTGCCTGGAGGTTCAGCGACCAAAAACGAAACGGGGGCCTTCGTTCCACGAGAGACACCGGTGCGGATTCGCCATGATGATGCGAGAAGACGTGATTCCGCGCGGGCCACTAGTCGGCTTGGCCACTAGTGGGTGTTACGGCAGTCGGTGGCTTGAGGCTTCGTTTCCATTGTTTCTAGTCTCGGGGCGGCACGGCAGTCGGCCGGCCGTCGGTGGGACTGTGACATGGTGATCCGGCGTCTGAGGCCCATTCATCCATCCCGCGCCGGACTTTGGGCGCGCGCACGCAATCCAATGCCAACAGACATCCCCCATGGTCATGGTCCATCCATCACATTGCATCCCACCCGCCAACGCCAACGCCCGATGCCCAAGGGCCATTATCCATGGCAACCTGAATCCGCCCGCTGAAAAATTCCTGGCATATCCACAGTCGGGTTTCGACGTGAGATTCGTTTCGTTTTATCACCGCTCCGAGGGCTTCCTTCGCGGTGCCGACTTCGTCCGAGGATGCTCACCGCTTGAGGCCATGGCCTTTAATAAGAGGAGATGGCTAGCTGGATGGGCGGTTATGGCGGCGAGGAAGAAGACTCCTCCTTCAGGGGGTTTACTCGGATGATTTAAGCTCCCGCTTGGGAACGAGTTGTCGTGGCCTTCTTGGAGGAGCTGAACCATCTCCATCGTGAGAATGAGAGCAAAGCCCGTAGGCCACTTGGCCAACTTCCTCCAGGCCTGGGCTTGATCCATCATCGCCAGTCAAACTCTCAGACACTCAGGCGCCACTGCCAGCTCATCAATCTGGCAGAGCCCCATCACCAACATCAAACTTCCAAGAGTCAAAGGCCGATGGCGGCTGCGGCGAAGAGGAGAACAAACACCCCCCATCAGCAGCCCAGGACACATCGTAATCGGTCATCTACAACGGATGGCTGTACTCCTCGATCGTGCGTCTTATTCCCGCTTGACTCCGTTCGCTATCAGCGGAGACCGCTGTCTGCAAGCCTCCTGGGCCGTTGAGGTGTCCGCCTGTCGCTGCTCAGCCATGATCAGTCATCGGCTCCTGCGGTGACGGGATGACAAACAACTTACAAGTCGGTAGCGTCTGACTAAACAAGACCACAGACCACGGGCGAGAGTGTCTGATGTAAGCTGGCCCGAGCCCAAATGACGGTGACGCCCGGCTAGGTTCCGTACGTGGTTCCGTACGTCCTTGTTAGGGGGGCGATAAAGCAGGCGATAGGGCTGTCAACAGCAATCGTCCATCCCCTGGCGACTGAAGGATGTGGACGAATGACGACTGGCGCCGGCATATTCGGACGAGGCTAGAGCAACGGAGGGCACCGAGATGCACCGCAGCGCTGATCCCAGGCTGACAGCGGACTGTTGTCACCGGGACCTTACCTCCGTCGACCGTTGCAAAAAAAGAAGTTGCCTCACCTTGACTGACACTCACCGACAACTTTCACAACTCGCACTCACTCACCGTCCCTGCGCACCCACCACAGCCACAGAAGACAGACGCAGAGAGAAAAGATTGACGGAACCACCACCAGCCCTGGCCAGAGGTGATGTAATGCGGCCTCTCACCGTGCCATCCGTACCTGACGTTAGCCCTCTCCCGGCCGTGTCAAAAATTTCGTCGGGGCCACCACGTGATGCGCAGAGTCCACCGTCGCGCCAACGCACATCATCCACGAGCGCTGCCTCGGCCAATGAGACGCCGGGGATGACCACGGCGCACGGCGTTGGCGGATCCCAGCTTCGGCTCCGGACCAGTGACGGAGAGGCGGGGGCTGAACACACACAGTTCATCCTCACAGTGTGTGTGTGCCTTGTCTGCCAGCCTTCTCCTCTCTAGGTCTCTCTCCCACGCGGCGGCTGTGACTGTTACTGCTGCTGCTGCTGCCACTGTTAATTACTGCTGTTGCTGGTTTGCTGCTGACTGCTGACTGCTGCTGGTTTGCTCTCTGTCCCGTCCTGTCGTCCAACCACGCGGTGGTCTCTGTTTTACCTTCGAAACATGAGTCGACACGGTTCGCTGTGAAGTTCTTTTTAGCTTTCTGCCTCTTTCACGAGCAACGCCCAGCTCAGCCCAGCTCAGTTCCCCCTTCGAGCTTCCCTCTTTCTCTCTCTCTCTCCCCCGCGCCGCCGTCCCAATTCCCCTCCTCTTCCTCCCTCCTCCCTCTTCACCTCAAGCTCGTCCGTTGCTGCTCAGCTCTTATCGCCGCAGCTTGGTTGGTCGCCCGCTGCATCGCCTTTTTTTCCCTCCTGCCTCCTCCCCAAACCCCTCCATCACCACCCCCGCCTTAGTTCCGGCGTGTGGTGAATTTTTTATAAGACGACGGGAAAAAAAAAAAGAAAAAAAGGACAAAATCGTCTCCGCCATGGCCGACGCAAGCCCCGCCAAGTCCATAACCTCACCCCGACCGCAGCTCACCTCGTCCATGAGGAGCAGCTCCTTCCTGCGCGAGCACCAGCAGTACCGGCCGCCCCAGCACCCGGAGAGCCGCTTCGGCATCGACACCGTCGTCGAGGACCTGAGCAACACCTCCCTCGCCTCGCCGCCCAGGCACAGCCACTCTCCCGGCAAGAACTTCGTCGCCTTCAATGGCGTCCCCTCCGAGGAGAACCCCCCGACCATCGTCGACAGCGGCCTGAACCACACCTACTCCCACCCCAACTGCGCCCCCACCGCCGGCAAGCCGCGCTCCGACCGCCTCATTGCGACCCTGTTCTATAAACCGAACGGCAAGCATGCCTCTCCCACCGGCGCCGGCGTAGCAGCGGCAGCAGCCGCAGCACCCGCCCCGCCCGCCGGCGCCGCCGCCGCTCCGGCCTCATCCTCCGACGCCGGCAGCACCAAGGAGTCCATCCCGGCCAACTTCGCGCCTACCCAGAACCCGGACTCCTTCCCCCTCGAGCCGCCCGCCTCGGAGCCCGAGAAGCTCGACCACCTCTACGGCTCCTACATCTCGCCCATGTGCGTCTCCTCCTTCCTGCACCTCATGTCCACCTTCCCGCTGCCCGCCGGCCACGACGGCTCCGACTACACCTCCTCCCACCGCTGCCTCGACACCCAGCCGAGCCCGCGCGTCGTAGAGCTCACCCTCGACCCGGCTCCCTGCCGCAGCTACCTCTCCCTCACCGACCTGCGCCGCCACGAGCTCATCTACCGCTTCGAGCGCGAGTGGGGCGTCGACGTCGCCCTCCAGCCCGACTCCCTCTGGCGCCGCCACCCGCGCCTCGTCGTCTTCGACATGGACTCCACCCTCATCACCCAGGAGGTCATCGACCTGCTCGCCGCCCACGCACCCGCCGACGGCATCGCCGAGAAGGTCGCCGACATCACCCACCGCGCCATGCTCGGCGAGCTCGAGTTCGACGCCGCCTTCCGCGAGCGCGTGCAGCTCCTCAAGGGCGTGCCCGCCTCCTTCTTCGAGACCCTCCGCCCTGTGTTGGACGTCACCCGCGGCGTGCCCGCGCTGATCAAGGCGCTGAAGCGCCTCGGCGTCAAGACCGCGGTCCTCTCGGGCGGATTTCTGCCGCTGACGGCCTGGCTCGCGGGAGAGCTCGGCATCGACCACGCGCACGCGAACGAGGTCGTCGTGGACGAGGCGACGGGGGCGCTGACGGGCGAGGTGAAGGGGCTGATTGTCGGGAAGGAGCGCAAGCGCGACCTCCTCGTGGAGATTGCGGGCAAGGAGGGGATTGATCTGTCGCAGGTCGTGGCGGTTGGCGACGGGGCGAACGACCTGCTGATGATGGGCGCGGCGGGGCTCGGCGTGGCGTGGAACGCGAAGCCGATGGTGCAGATGGAGGCCGACACGCGGCTGAACAGTGAAAGCCTTTTGGATCTGCTGTATCTGTTCGGGTTCACTGGTGATGAGATTGAGCAGCTTGCTTCGTAGAAAGAGCGGGCCGGGCGGGTGTGGTGCAAAATTGGGGAGTCGTCAAGGACTTGGCGTGGGCGTAGGCTGTGATGTGAGGTGTTTCGGGGAGTTGGAGTCACCTCTGGGGGGCTTGTCCATGGGAGTATCAATACATGCCACCTGGCTTAATTGCATGCTGTTGAAAATCTGATACCAATATGTTCGAGTGAGGGCGGGAGATTTCCAGGACAGTCATTGAGGCTTGACTCATGTTTAGATGAGAGAGAA